TTTGAAATTGGTCATGCTAACTTGTAAAGAACTTATTGATATCCTTATACAACTTATTACTCATTATGAATCTATTATTTTGGCATAGGGACATGGATTTCGGAAGGACCTTGTCCAAATGTTGGCTGATTTAAAACCTCAGTTTTTCAGATTTCCAGGTAAATCTGGATTCTTGATACTTGACTGCTGCTAAACTTGAGCTCTTCATATGTAATTCTCACTTAAAATATATGGGAGCTGAAACATGCAAGCTGTAGTGGGGCCACCTTGCCTAAACTGTTGATATATGATTTAGTAGTGAATTTTCAAGGTTGGAAAGTATTAACGATCTTACAGAAATATATTGTTGATGAAGAAATAAACACTGTTTATATTCGCTTTATTGTGTGTAAATTAGTTACAATCATACCAAGAGGGCGGTATTTTCTATGAATAATGTGAAGAAAACATCTATGCTATGGCAGGTCAATTGATGAACTGTATGTACATATGTATTTTTGTGTGTGATAGCAAAGTTACTATACAACACTTGCCAAACTTAAAAGCTCCTGAAGGATGATTACTCATCAAACGGAAGTCTATTATTTCCAATCCTGACGTTTATGTACGTATATTATGAGTTCAAACTCTTTTTTATGCTCCCTAATGTACCGTCAAAGTAAATTAGGCTCCAAAATTGATGGAAGATTCTAGGTTTGACATTTTCGTTGCCGAGGTTCATGTTTTTCATATGTTTTAACTATATTATCACATAAGACATCTATGATGGCTCATTTTCTTTCATATTTGCATTTGGTTACATGGTCTTTAGTGACACCTATCCATTATGCTTAATTTTCTCAATCCTCTTAGCAATGAACACTTCACAGAGCAAAGTTTAGCAAAATATTTAATAAATTAAAAGAATCTTTGTTTGTTTCAAAAACAATAATCAAATCTTTATAAAACAAGCTCAAATAGAAGTAACCTTGTCCTACTTTGCCTGCTATCAATTTTTTTCTGCAGATATAAAATTACATTCACCGTTTTCTTTGGACTTTTAGTTTTTTTCGTTTTTGGACATGATATTTTTTTTTCTTATTCCGGAACCTTAATGCTTGGTGTCCTGACCTCTTGACAAAGATAATCCGGGGAAGCTTAATTAAATTCCAAACAGTGCTAAGAATCCTTGATTTTTCTGCAAAATAGATAAGTCTTATATATACACTAATTCCTTAGAATTCAACCTAATACAGTTGGCTTTTATATTTGTGTTGGTTAGGTGGCTGTTTCGTTGAAGGTGAATGGTTACGCAATGCATTTCGTTGGAAAGAAACAATTGGACCCTGGGAAGAGAGACCTGGACACTTTGGTGATGTTTGGAAGTACTGGACTGACGATGGACTTGGTTATTTTGAGTTTCTCCAAGTAGGTATCTTGTTGTTGTGGAATGATCGGGATTCCCGGTTAATGCTGCTACCCTATGTAACAATTAGTAAAGAAAACTTTTGTTTCTGCAGCTATCAGAGGACCTTGGCTCATTGCCAATATGGGTGTTCAATAACGGTACACATTTCATTAACGCTTTATATCATCACATATGTACGTCATTATTAACTTTCTCAATTTGTAGGAATCAGTCACAATGATCAAGTTGATACTTCCAGTGTCTTACCATTTGTACAGGTATGTCTGAACAGCTGCCCATTTCTCCGTAACTAATGAGTAACTGGCTCGCTGTTACCGAAATTGATATATCATCACATTAACTACTTTATCTGTGTTATATCTTCTCAATTGAAGTGAATATATGCCGATGACAACAATTTTTCAAATTATGTTTAAGCCTTGAAAATGAACGACTTTGCTTTATGTGCTTTGGTGTAAGACGCATAAGATTTGCCAAATATGATATGAAGATATCAAATTTAGTTGTTTTTTTTTTTTGGTTAAGTGAATTCACTGTTCTCAAAGCCCAACTTCATTATTCACATAGGGGGATGTGAACCTCTTAAAATGTAGTCTCTTCAGAAGCCAAGTAGGGTTGCTTTGGCAAGGGTAGGGCAGAGCTTCGAGCCCCAAATTGCCATTCAAGGAGTACATCAAACATTGTAAAAAACTGCAGTACAAAGCATGTGATGCATTGTTTGTTACTAGGAATCTCTGCAATACGCTCTAACTTCTCAATGATTTTATTATAAATATCAGTTGTATATATCTGTTGAATGCTGGTTTAGTGCATAAACAAAAAGAACCACACATAAAATAAATGTTTTTGGTGTCAATATCGGATAACTATTCTTATTCAATTCTCAGTCTTGTTATTTATGCACAGTATGTGCTGATAGATCTCAAATTTATGGATTACCTTTCACATTTCTTGTTTACAGGAAGCTCTCGACGGTATAGAATTTGCTAGAGGCAGTCCTAATTCCACATGGGGTTCTCTTCGTGCTGCAATGGGACACCCCGAGCCCTTTGACTTGAGATATGTTGCTATAGGGAATGAGGATTGTGGAAAAAAGAACTACCGAGGTTTGTATGTTTTGTAGTTCATGCTTCTTGTTGAGATGGAACTGATTGATTATTATCAGTGTTTTAAAAGACTCGCCTCGGGGCGCGCCTAGGCGGCCTTGGAGGTGGGGCTGCAGCATTTTTGCCTCTGTTTTGTGGGAGCCTGTTTTGTGCAGCATTGTCAAGACTTATGCTTTCCCTCTTTCTCTTGACCAGGAAATTACCTTAAGTTCTTTAGTGCTATAAGAAATGCCTATCCTGACATCAAAATGATTTCAAACTGCGACGGTTCTTCTCGTCAGTTGGATCATCCAGCTGATATGTATGATTTTCATGTAAATATCATAACACTGCTACTTGTATTCCACTTGACAATAATCTTCTTTACCATTCGACATATGGGGCCATTGAAAATTTGGCTACATGGATAACATTTGCGATAGTCCTCTTACCTTCTGTTTTTTGCTTAGATCTATACATCTGCTAGCAACTTGTTTTCTATGGCCAATCATTTTGATCACACGTCACGTAACGGCCCCAAGGTAGTTCATGAGCTTTTGTATGATTTAATCTGCTCTAAGTTCCTACCTGTTTTTCCATTCTTAGTATTCAATATGATCCAGGCTTTTGTGAGCGAGTATGCCGTGACTGGAAAAGATGCTGGGAGAGGAAGTCTTCTAGCAGCATTAGCTGAAGCCGGATTTCTTATTGGACTGGAGAAAAACAGGTCTGTTGTGCATATGTTCTACAAAACATTAAAGATCGGACTTCTTTATATATATTTACAAGCACGGTATTTCTTCTTGAAAAAGTGTATATCATTCCTGCATTTCTGCATGTCAGAACCACGTAGTTTGTTACAAGATCTCCTTGTGTAAGACCAGCTGCACATGTTTTCTTTGCATTCGAATCTTTCTGGTATTTCCCAACCCGATCCAATAGAAATAGTACTGAACTGACTAAGAGATGGAAAGTCCTTGGAGGTGGTCTGGGAATCTGATAAATAACGATGATATTCATGAAAGAGTTCTCAGTGGCATGGATAATTGAATAAATTTAAAGTTGGAGGATGCCCCGATATACCTGTAGCATAGGATTTCACCGTGATACTACTAAAATATGTAGAAATCACAGTTTCCCGTGATAATTTCACTGTAATTCTTTATAACTCCTTCCCTAAGCGTTTTTATATGTACACCGGGATTCTGGGGTTGTCATCTTTACATCTAATTTTTGCAAAAGTATATATCTGTAATTGTTAAAATGGCAGCTATTGAGTACTTATTTTTGTCTGTCTACGTACAAATGCAGTGATATTGTTGAGATGGCAAGCTATGCACCACTCTTTGTCAATACCCATGACAGGCGGTATACTTTTCCTCTCATTCCTTTTGTATAATGTAACTTTTATGTATTACAGTGGATTGATGCTGTTTTCGAAAGAGGATCGGATCAATGCTGTTTATTATTACTAAAATTGAAACTTTTCTTTCATCAAGGTGGAATCCGGATGCAATTGTCTTCGACTCCTCACAGCTCTACGGGACTCCTAGCTACTGGGTGCAATGTCTGTTCAACGAATCTAGTGGAGCAACTCTTTACAACTCAACACTCCAAATGAATTCTTCTACTCCACTTCTTGCATCTGCAATTTCGTGGCAAAATTCAGAAAACGAGAATACTTACCTAAGAATAAAGGTATTACTTTTTTATGCTTAATTGAGTTTATAGCTTATAACATGTCGATACCATTAAAGTTTTTGTAGCCATCTAATATTAACATACTTGGAATGCCTAGAACAGAAACAAACAAACTCGTTTATCACATTGCTCTTAAACTCGTATGTTGTTTGTTGCTTCAGAATAACGTATATTATACTTTGACTGGAGTATTCTACTCTTTATTTTCGTTATAAATACGTATCTTGTCTATTTTTTCTTCATTTCTGCTCAGCTTTGGAATTCCGTACATATCTTGACTGAAGCAACTACATGTTAACCGCTTCTTCTATCACCGAATTAAAATACAGTTTCAACCAGTATGACGCATATCGTATTCTGTTACGTTTTATTACTCTCATGATTATTGCCCTTGTCCAGGTTGTGAACATGGGAACCAACACAGTGAATCTGAAGGTTTTTGTGGATGGGTTAGAGCCAAATTCTATTAGTCTGTCTGGGTCAACAAAAACTGTGCTTACATCAAACAACCAGATGGACGAGAATTCGTTTAACGAGCCAACGAAGGTAACCGAATTGACCTTGTAACGTTACTATTTTCGTCTTTCATATCCTTGGGTTGCCTGCATGTTAGGATGAGAAATCGACGATGATATGATTTTAATTGGCCTTACATGAATGCAGGTGATACCCAAACAGAGCCTGCTAGAGTCTGCGAGTGAGGAAATGGAGGTTGTAATCTCTCCGCGTTCATTCACCTCCATTGATTTGTTAATGGAATCGAGCGATATCATCAGGACTACTGGAGCTGATTCTGTCTCTGTATCTTCTATTTAAACATCATATCGTATGAAGTATGTAGTCAGTCGAGTGACTCAAGTAACTCAGTCCCAGTGTAATCAAAAACAAACTATTCCCATGTAAATAATTATATGAAATAATCCAACTAAAACGGTTTATCTTTGTTGGAACCGCTAATCACACCTTACAGTAGTCTCTACAAAGAAGCTATGAAGTCTCGTCGCTGGAAAATCCGGCGTTTGTAGTAACAAACTAGGGAAGAAGATGCGAACGAAATATGAGAGGGTAGGTGCAGCAAAATCCACTACTCCAACACTAATAAACTTGTCATGAAATGAAAATGCCACAGGTTTTGGATCGTCACCGGGTCCTCTAATAAACCCACTGAATTTATATCATGGTAAATCGTTAGTAACAATTCAGCATTCGGCTAATGTTTTAAAAGAAAAGAAAAAATAATTGGTAAATAATCAACTCACATCAATGATGCAGATATTAGAGTACTCCTAACGTCGTAAATGGCAATAAGACCCCTGTATAGGTCACCGCCGTCTTTAAAAGATAAAGCCAATCGCTCTCCTGAAGCGTCCCAAGCTATCTTCTCAATGCCTTGACTGAAGGAGACAACAACATATGAGCTCTCTGTAGACATCGAAATTTCAGTGAAATAAATGTTAACCAATGTATTAAAATTACAACATTTATTTATTTCACCTACATCACACACTCATTTCACCTACAACTTCCACTTATTTCACCTACATCACACACTCATTTCACCTACAACTTCCACTTACTTCACCAACCTTACACACTTACTTCACCTACCAACTCCATTTACTTCACCTACAACATCCACTCACTTCACCAAAAATATAAATGGTGGTGATTCACTCTCAAAGCCTATAAATAGGCTTCTCCATCAAGAGGAATAGACACACACCAAAACCTTGAAGCCTTAAAGTTCTAAAGCTCTCAAGAAAATCCCGAAAGATCAAGAAAGCACTCTTCGTTCTTCGTCAAATCCTCCTTCAAGATCAAGCCCCAACGGCCCTTGAAGAACTTCGACCAACTCAAGATCAAGCCCCGATGGCCCTTGAAGAAAGTGTTCATCGTTCATCATCCGTTCATCCTAAGATCAAGCCCCAACGGCTCTTTGGATCAACAACCTCAACAAATCCACACATCCAATCGTTCTTCAAGATTAAGCCCAAAAGTCCTTGAAGATCCGCTCATCCATCAACCTTCAAGATCAAGCTCAAAAGCCCTTGAAGAAGTCCATACAACCATTATTCAAGATCAAGCTCAAAAGCCCCCTTGAAGAACTTCCACCAACTCAAGATCAAGCCCCGACGGCCCCTTGAATAAAGTGTTCATCATTCATCATCCGTTTATCCTAAGATCAAGCCCCAACGGCCCTTTGGATCAACAACCTCAACAAACCCATACACCCATTTTTCAAGATCAAGGCCAACGCCCCTTGAAGATCCATTCATCAACTGTTCATCCTTAGATCAAGCCCCGACGGCCCTTTGGATCAACAACTCATCCACAAACCTACACCCTACTGAAGATAGAATCAAAGGATCAAATTACAAAGAGATCGTAACCCCAAAATCATTAAACACAAAAATATTATTTTGTACACGTATTCTTGTTTCTTGTTTCAGGAAATTTCCGTGTTTACACTCTCATGAGAACCAGATGCCAAATATGTGAGTACACGTCAAGGAAATCCCATATAGCACGACTGAACAAAAGTAAGTGTGAAATTAATCTGAAAATAAAGGCTCTTCTTCAATACAAATAAAATGGGGCATTTTTTCCTGCTTGAGAATATCCATGTATAAAAAATGAAATTGAGTCCACAACATACTATAGAGAAAGTGAATGCAAAAGTAAAACAGAAACATAAAGTTTTCTCAAAATTTTTTATAAAGTTTGCATATAGATGACAGTGATAAATTGCAAGAAAGCCTCCATATTCATGTAATGTAGAGTCTATAATGGAAAACCAGAATAGAGATTGTTTGGATATCTTCCATCAGGACTCCATGACAATGCACTAATCTGTTCCTCGTTATGACTTCGAAGAAAATCCACCAAAGTATATCGAATTCCAAAACCTCTAGAGAGAGTTCCCAGGAAGGAAGAAGAACCAGATCTGATAGATGCTGCAATTCCTGGGAAAGAAGCAACCCAAATGCAAATTCCACCTCTGAAATCAAGCACATGCAGTGAGAGAAATTCAGCTTTACAACTTATAGCCTATCAAAATAAATAAATGTAGAAATAGATCTTGAGCAGCAAAATTAAGGTACGTGCTTGCATGCTATAGCAAGTTGTCTCCCACCGTTTGGCCTCCATTCAAGTACTTTGACCTCTCTTTGGGACTCATTGGCCAAAATGCATGGCTCCTTCCCTTCTGTTAAAGTACAAATTGAATTGACAAGGCAACAAAATTAGCAGAGAAAGAACTTAAATAATTGAAAGCAGTAACTAGTTAAGCATCTTACCGAAATTCCAAACTATAACTTGAATTGGGCCAGATATAAGCGCTACAACAAGTTTATGTTGGTGCCAGCTCACTCCTTTAAGATCAACTTTTGGTAATAAGCTTACCTGCAAGTTCAGTAAGGATGTTTAAGAAGCCTTTCACCACTTTATCATTTACAAGTCATCATGAACTTGCTTCATGTTGTCTCCTTTTTTTTTTTTTTTAAGAAGAAACGATAGAATTTTATTAAAATAATAGAAGGTAAGACCTTTCAAGTAGTACTACTTTACTAGTAGCTAAAATGAACCAAATTCATTTTACGGCTGCTACCACATATCCATGACTATATGAGAACGAGAATAATCCTACCCCATAGTCCCTCTACTTCCACTCCCCTATAATCCTAAAAATTTATGCTCCAACCAAGTGTTCCAAAAGAACTGCCAACACCAAACAGCCCCACAAAGCTTTAGCTTTCTTCCCCTTTCCTAAAGCCTCGAACTTGGTGGTTAGAAGCTCAAAACATCCCTTTGGAATAACCCAACTGGCTCTAACTTCCTTGAACAATTTCCACCAAAGTTGTATCGAGTAAGAACAATGGAGAAAAACATGATTAACACTCTCCTCTGACTTACACAAACTGCACCACTGAGGAGAAATCAAATAAAAGGTCTTCGCTTTTGAACTTGATCACAGCTGTTGACCCTACCAATTTCCAAATCTGAGAATAGGGTGGAAAATGTTGCACAGTTCCATTGTTGCACAAGGAGCTATGGGATTTGCAAGTGAACAATCCTGACCCGTCTAGTTTCCACCAGCTATTATCTGCTCTTGATTGAATCAAATGAACATCTTCCACCTTCTCTAATAACCTAGCAGGCTAACTCCAGCTCATCCAACCGTTGTCTCTCATATGAAGCTTATTGTTATCTAAGACATGCTAAGAAGAAGTTTAGCTAGCAGAGCTAATCAAGGGTTAAAGTCATGTCTTTGGCCCATGCTACAAGCTTTCTAATACCAATAACATACTGTATTGGTAGTTGTGGCCCTAACTCTACAAATTTATGATACTGTTAGGACAAGGAATTTCAACATTTACTTATCCAGTTTCTGGAGAATTAGAGTCAACTTGTAATTCAATGGTCACATCTGCATTCAATGAATTTTGAGGGACATGTCTTGACACCAGTGAACACATAGGCAGCGGCACAAAAAGAAATTCCACTTTAAAGAATATCGGATGCAATGTAACAGCAGCAGATGAGCCATCCTACAAATGGGTGAGCATTATTGCTACTACACTCAGATTATTTGTTAGTCTTGCCCAATAATTCTCATGTTCAAGATGATATGTGTACTCTTAGTTAACGCCTAACACAATTCCCACGGTAATCACTCACCCAAAAGGAACAGACACTAATTCAACAACCATTAATGCAAATTGGGTATTTAGTAATTGTAAAGAAAATATTACATACATGATTAGGACGGAAGAGAGGTGTGAGGTTAAGAATCCCCTGCAAATTTTGTAGAATTCCCTTTGTTGGAGTTGTTACAACTTGCTGGGGGTCCTGGTCAGGACTCGGTGGCCGCACCAGCTGATCCGATTGAAGCGGAACTGGGCTGAATACCATTCCCTACATACCCAGAAACTCCAATGTGACATCAATGGCCAATGTATACGACCCACCCAACATTAATCAATTAGATACATATGGACAGACTTTGAAGGATTACTGACAATAATCTTTCATTACTGACAATAATCTTTCCATAAGTGTCCTTGGCTACATTGTCCGAGAGGCTCTCAGCAGTGACTGCAGATACTTACAAATCAATATCAGTATGTGTATAAAACTACATGTGTGTGTGTGTGTGTGTCTAGAGAGAGAGAGAGAGAGAGAGAGAGAGAGAGAGAGAGAGATGGTACTGACTGAGGTCGCGATTGATTTCGCAAATGGTGACAGAACCGGGATGAGGAAAGGAAGGCATTCCTGGAGCTGGAGATGAGCAGTAGAGGTAGGGTTTGCTTCGCGGTGGTGCCGGAATATTCTACCCTTTTCCCTCTTTAACTTTGCTTCGCGGTGGTGCCGGAATATTCTACCCTTTTCCCTCTTTTTCTAAATAAAAAATTTTCGGCGCGTAGGCGGTTTTTACAATTTAATCCTGTTCAGGCATCTGCCCTTCAGCTCAATCCACCTTCTGTAGTTGGAGAAATTTTTTACTGTAGCGTAAACCCGGTCCGGTATGATTAAGTGTAGATTGTATTTTCGGCACACTAAAAATTCTCTCCAGTAATTGGGCGCACTTTGGTTTGATTTAATCTTACACAGAAGTTATAACCGAATTAGGGTTGATTAGAAGTGCTTTTATAATAAATAAAAGCACTGTTATGAGAGTGTTTTGAGAACCGATATTTGGTAAAAATGCAGGTGAATCTTAGAAAACACTTCAAGTGTTATTTAGAACCCAAAAATATTTTCATCAAATGCACCTTCAATCAATTTAAAACATTTGCAAACGAGCATTTAATTAGTGATGCAAGAAATTACGTGGTGGGAAATAAGAATAAAATGATTGGTAGGATCCATTATCTCCTAGTGTGTGAAGAGACTTGAAAACCTTAAAAACTTTGCTTCTAGTATCACCCTACAATGTGGATAATTAAAAAAACAAAGCAAGAAACTCTTAGACTAGCACAAGGTACTTAGAATGAGTTTTGAACTCAAATTTCAATATTATAATTCCAACAACTTCTATATCTTATGCCTAACAAATACTTGTATTCATACGCTTACAACTTAACGTGAAAAAAAATATGAAAATACAAATGAAATAAAGCCTTTCAATATAACTCTTACAAAACTAAAAGATATCAGATAATATGATTAAACTAGAGTTAATATCCAAACTCTCATAAGCCACAAATTTAAAGTAGTGTTGTAGGACATTTATGACCATCCACTAATAGTTGTAGGGGTATTTGTGTAATTTGCCACACCACTATGTAAAGGTGGATATGTCTCACATTGTAACGTACTACAAAATTCTTAATAAGAATTCTCTCACACTATGTTTTTGACAAGGAAATTTAAGATGAGTAAGGAATTTTGAAATGATATGATTTTATTTTTAGAATTTGTGAATTTTCTTATTTAGTTAACCTAAAGAATAATGGAATGTGAATACAAAAATTTTTATTTTTAACTCACTCATAAAAATTCAGAAATGACACATATGTACATAGAATTTAAACTTAGGAATTGGCGATCCCAAATTTCAAGTTTTTTCCGTGTGAAATTCTAAATTTTTATGTTTATGAGTCCAAACAAGGGAATTGGTGCATGTCAATTTATAAATTCTGATTTTTTATCAAAATTCCAAATTTATCTTCCTCATCTAAACAAGTGTCGTTCTCTGTCATATTATTTGCAGCTACAACATGTTTTTTTTTTTTTTCCTGAGGAAGAAAGAAGATTAAATTAAAGAGAAACCTCGGAGACACAAGGCCTCGGGAATCATACAAGAGAGCGTTTTTTGCTTGGGTAAGAGCACACCCATCCCAAATATATAAATGAGTACAATTATGCCCAAGAGAAGTAATGATGTCCGCTGTGAAGTTTGCTTCCCCTATCAACATGATTCTATTCTACCAGCTCAAACGATGAGGCAAGTCATTCAATGTCCTCAACCATGGACCTAATTCTCCATGGAACTGCACTGCATCAATGACAACCTTCGAGTCCCCTTCCACCACAATTTTTCTGATTTGACGTTGTTTGGTATAACACGTTATTAGCACGCTTACTCTTAACGAAACCAAAATCATTAGAAAATAATCCACCAAAACCTTAAATAAAAAAAATTGCAGCCATCCTAGCCGCAAGAAAATAAATCAGAAAATCCCTTCAGGTCCTCGCAAAAACCAATTTCAGCAAAAGCTTGGCAAGGTGACACAAGCTATATATAATCCAATTTACATGCATGGTTAGCAGAATTCCGATTAATCTTATTAAATTAATCCACATGACTAGGTTAATTGATGTGCTTGTGTTCTTGCAAAACAATTTTAAGAACACACATATAAACTTAAATTAAGTTTCGAACCCCAACCTTTAAATTTCATATGAAGATGAATTAGTTATTGAGGCTCTTAAGTGTTAGCCATCTACTAGGATCCACGCGAATGAATCTTTGGTTGGTGAAGCAGGAAGACGATATACTACTATGTCATTCTCCTCTAATAGGTGCAGCAAGGGGTATAAAGTGTGATGTAACGATCTGTCCCCAAAAAAATTTAGTCTTTATAATTTTTGAATGTGAATTTACGGAAATGCCCTTCGAGGCAAAGACGTTGACTTTTGTTGACCGTCTTGTCATGTCATGTAAGATTCATTTTCTTGGCATATCCTCGTAGTATTCATCGCTATGAACGTGTGGGCGCAAACGGAACGTAATTTGGAGTTATAACGAATGAGTTATTAACAAATGAAGTCGAGGGCAAACTTGTAAATTTATTATTTTCTGGAATGCTCGAGATTTTTGGAGTAAAATCTTGAAATCCACGTGTGTGGGCCAGATTAAAGGGAAAAAAAGTTGGGCGGTGGAGATGAAAGATAAAGGAGAGGAAGGAGGACGGGCGCTGCCCAATCGGGAGAAGAGAGATAAGGGAGGGAAAAGAAAATGGATGGAATCGGTCGAGTTCCCCTTAACCAGCGCGATGACCCGACTTCCTTGGAGTTTCCCGACGATTTTCCATCTAATTTTCCAGCCTTCTTTAACCTCCCATCACCACCAAACCTCACCACAACACCCCATCACCTAATTCTAACCAAACCCGAAGAATTTTAGCCTCGATGTGGTGAGAAAACCCATTGAAGGGTCCGGGTGGGTCTCAGCTTTGAACCACCATTTGTGAAACAATTCCTCTCAATTGCCACCACCAATGTAATTCCCTTGAGCTCAGGAACAATGCTTGATCATTGGTTAGAGTGTTGGAGTTGATTTGAGGACGAATCAAGAAACACCCAAATTATAGGGTCCCGACAAGTTCATGGTGATTTGAGGCTTTTCCCAACCAAATTGGACTTGGCCACAAGTATAAAACTTACTCTTCTCGTTGAGATTTTCATTTCTGTGAAGTTTGAGAACTTTTAGAAGTTTGAGAACTTTTAGAAGTAGTTGATTTTTCCGGCAAGTTGGGGGGGTGACCGCCGTGTACGGCGGCACTTGGGCCGAGGCATCCCCTGACCTTCCTAGGCTAAATTTGATTCTCCAATTCCATACGTGAAGTCTAATTGATGAATTTCCATCGTTTGCACTTAGTTCCATTAGGGGGCGTTTGTTTGCCCTCACTAAACTTCCTTGGATTGGACTAGCTTAGTTGGGATTGCTAGCCAATGTTTGATGCAAACATGGACTACCGTTAATGAGACTAAGTCGGACTCGCACCGACTAAGTCTTTCGCTAGGTCGTCTTAGCGGGGATCCCCGATAGGTATGGGATTGCTAATCCCGTCCCCAAATCTGTTTCGTTTGCCCGTTGCATCATCTACATACTGCATCGTTTGCAAGTGTTCTTCTCTCCAACGCCGTTTACCCACTCCCCAGATCTGAAACAAAAGCCTCATCCACTGCCGAAATCTCAAAATCCAACCACAAAATTAAAAACGAAAAACAATAACAACAACCAAATCCAACCACCAAATTCAAAGTCAACCGCTTGCCAGAAAATTCCAAGATGGCTTTGTAGGCAGAAAAGCCAACGCATGTATCAGATCCGAAAATTTTTGGAAGAAAAAAGGATGAGGAAGGTGGAGATGCTTAATGGCGGCAAGAGGGTGAATATGATGAGCTTGTTTTTGAAGGATTTGTGATGAGCTTCACACCTGCGTTGTGCAGGAAAATGAGGGAGAAAAGAAGAAATTGACAGAGCCGGAAGGAGAAAAGAATAGATGATTCCAGAGTGATAGTTTTCCAGGATAAAAAAGGTTAAAAGGTTAAATAAATAATAAAATATTATTATGTATGCATCAAATAATATAAAATATTACAATATATGCGTTAAATAATATAAAATATTATAATATATGCATTAAATAATATAATATTATAGTTTGTTTATTATTCAGTTTTATAGTCCAACACTGCACCAAACGCTTCACTAAACTAGTCCAACTTAGTCTAGTCTAAGCCAGTCCACCTTAATCCTAGCAGCTAGTCCAGTCCGAGACAGTCCGATGCAACAAACGCACCCTTAAGGTCCACCACTTGATTATTATAGCAATCGATGATCTGACCGTTGGATCGTCACCAAACTTTGATACGTTATAGTACGTAATATTTGAGGATATTAGAAACTTACGGAACGGAAATCTAATTTATGGATCTTCCCGAATAAGATATGTAAGTTATGTGTTCTATTGATAAGAATTCTGAGACATGATTTGATAATTGTTCTAGGCGCCGATCGTTCATGACACCTCAATATTCATGCTAAGGAGCTGTAGCGTGGACCTCAGGTGAGTGGGTCTTTTTCCTTTTTATAGTGTGTGTGTGTGTGTATACCTTACGGTTTTCCATAAATGTTTTAAATTGATTATGCATAGCATGCCATGATTTAAATGTGTTATATTTAAATATTGCATTGTGATGAGATTTGTGGTTATGTCAAATGATCCTACAGAGACGTAGGTAAGTTCAGGTAAGTTATTATGTGATTGAAATGGTTGAATTATATGAGCATGCATATATTCATTTAGAGCTTATCATTGTTGCACCTCCGTGTTAGTGCCCCCATCCAGAGCCAAGGCACAACCTTCATGTGATTGTTCACCTCTTGCATCGCACACTCGCCTTGGATCCAAGTTAGGTGCTAGCCTGTTGTACAAGTCGCATTAAGCGACTCCGACTCGTAGGTGACCCGTGCATAGCACTAGCTTTCATGTGATCGTAGCATTAGAGCGTACATATTTACACCCAGCCTGTTGTACAAGTCACACTAGGCGACTCCGACTCGTGTGCTAGCATAGACTTATGAGCAATAGATACAGTCATACAAGTCACATTTGGTGACTCCGACTGGCATGTTAATTTAGACTGATCTCACACCTGGCTTACATTTATTATTGTTGAGATATTATGGCATGACATGCTTCTGTTTTTACTGCACATATGCA